TTGAACGCGTCATGAGGTCAAAAGTCGGTGCAAAATTGATTCTTTTTTTTTTAAAAATAAAAGAAAACAATTAAATTAAATCAAAGCACGTTGAGCTATAAAAAAGAGTGACCGTTTAGAAAAAAAACCATACATGTGGGAATGTTATATGAATCAAAAACATATTTCAGAATCATTAAAAATACTATTGATTATAGCATTGAAAAGCATCGTTCCAAAATCAAACACTGCCATAATAACAATAATACCAAATCGTGGTAAATCGTTTGTGTTTCAGAGACTGCTAAGATTTTGATAGAATGTAGAGTCCTAAAAACAATAAAACATTATGTTTTTTGTCTAATAGAATGTTTATATTTTTAACATGCCTGAACTGGAGCAAATTGTTGATTTGTATCTTCTCCATCACTATCACTGCTATCCGCACGAATTCGAGAATCTAAAAAGAAATAATTATAAAAACAATATACAATCAAGACACGGTACTGTACTGAATGTATCATGTTTACTTCGATCTTATCAATTTTAGACAAGGTGTCAGCATATCTTCCCAACCAGTTTAATAACTAACTACAACTGCACATGATTCAAAGGGTTATTTTTGCTTAGGATCATCATATCACGCCCTCTCACACTTTTCATTTTCTAACTCGTGAGAGAACTAATCGATTAAACGAAGAGAACTGATTTGTCATCTAATCGTTTCACATCTTACCACCATTCTCGCTTGTTAATTTTCCAAAACATAGGTCACAAACCCGCACTGGCTTTGAATCAACATGTGGCAGTAAGAAACGTTTTTTTGAACAATTCTAGAAACAACGATTTCTAATGAATGGACGTGAGAATAATCAGAAAGCCAAACCTACATCACAAACAACTTTTCCACCTAAAAGAGAAAATCGAAGTAAATTATTCGATGAAGAAATTTATGTGATTTTCTAGTAATACTAACAATGTCGACAATGATGTCGCCTTTCATATGTAGTAAATTTGATTGTTTGACAACACATACAAGTAGTCGCTTTTTCATCTGGAACCCAATGAGGTGCTAGAGGACTACTGTTAGATACACTCCCACCTATAGAAATAAAGAAATCAAATTAAGCACTTCGCAATTCCTAATTTGCTTACCACACGCATATTTAATACATCTATCCAAATGAGCAATCCACTCTGACAAAAAAAGAGAAGAAACGAATAATATTCAAAATCGATTAGTAATAATTATTTCTTTACCTTGTCTTTCACGATCTGAGTTTGCACGGACAATAAATGATTTTTTTGGACTGCTTATCAGCCATGCAAATGGATTTTCTGAATAAAACAAAATGAAGTATATAGATATAGATAGTTCTAGTTGCATCTAATAGTTTTAAATAAAAACATTTTCGCTCTAAAATTATCAGAGTTCGAATAATGCGTAATTTGTTTACCGGGTGTATCTAGTGGAGGTCCGAGTTGAATTTCGCTCAGTGGAATTATTTTTTGTTGAGAATACTATAAATAATTGAGAAAAGGACATTAGAATTAAAATAAAAAAAACAACTCATGAGTCGACTAACCTTTCGACCACTAATAACTACATGTCCATAAACAAGAATATCGTTGAAAAGAAAAAATGCTCGTTGTTTCGGTTTTTTACGGCATATCTTCATTAGAACACCTTCACCTACTAATGCACGCCCTTCTTTCTCAAGAGACTGAAAATAAATATGAAAAGAACGTCAGTATGCATATTACTTGTGAATAATCATAAATCAAGAGATGACAAAATTAATCGAACAAATACTAGTATCATTGTTTTAAAGTTTTTATTTGTTTAAAATCAGTATAATCAGTATTTGTGCGATTAAATTTCGCAAGATGCGTATAATGTTCTCAAATTAATTCTCTTACATGACTATTTACAAATTTATCTTGAACACCACGTATACGCTTAGAATTTTCAGCTGAACGACCTATTTGAAAGACGAAATGATGAAAATGAACTGATAACAACAAAGATAGCTTTTGTATCTACTTAATTGAGCAAGTCCGTCTTCTTTTGATGTCGACAATCTAGCATTGGTAAGATTGCTCATCTAAAACATAGAGACAAACTAATTGACTTTTTTGTTTGCTCCTTTAAAAGTAACATTATATAGTTTATTATGATTACTCGACTTCTGTTAGTATATTATACTTCTTCTATTTCTACTAGGCTTTACCAGATGGTTTAAAACTTTGCTAAGTTTTGAAAAGTATTATACTTTTAAAACTCGGAAAACT